TACCTAATGTTAAGCCTAAGATAAGTGGACTTATAATATTTCGGTGTCTGCAATTAAAATTATTTTTATTATTCTATAAATACTGTACTGTTGAAATAAATATTTTAATTTCACCGCAAATATTTTGTAGATATCTGCTAGTACATGAACGTATACAAACCAAACTTTGTGGTTGTGAATTGAACCAATAACGGTATACATGGAGTTTGGTTTTGTGTCAATTTTAATCTCTGTTGCTATCCATTAGTTACATTACTTATCATTTTTATACATGAAAACATAGCCATTATCGGGTTTTAGTAAAGGGTCAGCCTATGATTTTACATTTCATATATCTCTTTTGGCCAGAAAGTCATCCTTAATTATTATCTGTAATCAGTTATACGTCAGTGAACCCTAGTGGAAGTTACTGTAAAAAACCGAAAAACTTTTTCATCTTTTGCTCTTGAGTACTTACCATCAAATGTCCCTCTATACTAATCTGCACTTTCAATAGTTAGACACTTGAAAGTGTTATTTTTTAATTAAATAGTACAACAGTACTAGTACGTAGAATACCCAATAGTTTGTATTCGAATTCCGAACAATTTTATAGTTGTACTCACCAAAATACTTCCACCTTGTTTTGGCAAATAACGTATTTTTTGTCGCACTGTCAGGGTGTGGTAGCACTACTAGGGTTAAGAATTGATTGGGATCTTGATTATCAAATTTGTAATTAATACATCAATTCTGAATGAATTTTAAAAATATTTCTTATATAAAACCAATAGTAAAATGTTCGAAACATTATATATAAGTGTATTAACTAACACTCCCCGTTTATCTAACACACACAAAATTGTGACAAAATTTAGATGAAAACATTATGTAGACTATGGTTAAAAAAGATTGCCCAGAAGGTATAGATTAACAACTTAAAAACGAAATCCAGAAAAAAAGCGACTTGTCTTTAAATGCGCCGTTTCTCGAGAGAAAATATATGTATAATATTAACGTAACTATAAAATGTTATAAATTACGAAGAGTTTTCCTTACAAAATTCTAAAACAAAAACAATGAAATACCTTTCTCTAACGTAACTTTTAACTGTTTAAGTATCTATTGATAGTAATAATGCTAAAATAAACAACAATAGTACGTTTTGAAATGAGTTTTGTTTCATCTCAACTCTTAGTTTTCATAATAGATAAATCTGTCCTCCAATCACAAGTCATTCAGAAAGGTTATTATTTACTCAGGTTTAGTACGGCTTAGAAAATTTGGTGATTACAATAGTCGGCTGTGCTCTGCTCACCACGGGTATCAAAACCCAATTTCTAGCAGCATAAGTCCGCAGACATACCGCTGTGCCACTGGGTAGTCGGTAATCCATACTTTTGTGAATTACTTTCTCCTGGTTACTTTTGTACATCTTTATATAGCAGATATCAATAGGACTACACCACATTAATATCGTTTATTGTGTATTTTATACTACTTTTTTATCATCTCGACGTGTGTAGAGAAAAAATATGAAATTTTAATTTCTCACGAAAACTTGAAAATTATTACAGTCAGAATGACCATTGTCTACAGTCGGCGCTCAGAGATTTGATTACTTTCTGAGACTAAGAACAGTAACAAGACCCCTGCAGTTTATTCTGCAAACATCAATCGTAAAAGGCCTATCCAGAGCACCATCTACTCCGCCCTGTGCGCTGCAAGACTCTTCCGCCGTTCCTTCGTAATTTAATGTTATCACGTGCTTCGTTAATTGTATTCCTGTACGATGACCATTTGACGGTGTCATTAGTTTCTCAGGTGCTCATTTCTAGAAGCAGCGAGTTGATTTAAAGCTTTACGATACAGTCTTTATAAGGTACAGTACGTACTAATCAACACACTTCTCGTGCTTCAACACTTATCGCTATCTCTTCACTAATTATACTTCTTCACTTGAACACTAACTACGTCACACCTTCAAACTGCAGTTTGTTGAAATGCTTAACACGATTCTCTCTGTGACGCTTCTACTTTATATATTTTTCAGCGTAATTATATTCACAATATTAGAAGCAAACGTGATATATACACATAACCAGTGAATCAACCAAGTATTATTAATTTATATAATTACAGAATAGAGATAAATAAAGAGGTTTGTACGTTTCACAAACAAATCATTTACTACAGCCCTGATTTCATCAGGTACAGACTGAACCAGCTGATAACATGTATATATATATGTTTAAACAAAGAATTCGAAGTAACTTGGACACTCACCCTGAGGCAAGTGGAGGAACTAGTTGATTTGATCACTTAGAACTTTGGATTCGCTTTTATACTCTCTCTGCAAGTAAAATCTTCGTGATTTTAATGGAATTTTATAATTCAGCTGTTAGTTTGAAATGTTCATATTTCTGTTGCTTCTGCTTTTAGGTTACAGATTGTTTAGATATTTTAACAAGAACATTATGTGTGTTTGTTGTTGTTAAACACAAAACTGAACAAAGGGGTATCTCTTTTGTGCCTACCCTAGGTATCGAAACCCGGTTTTTAATGTTATGAACCTCCAGACTTGCCGCTAAGCCACTAGGGGCTTAACAATAACTGATTTTTGCGTTTTTCCCACAGGTTATTAAATAACCTGATTATTGATTTGTCGTATATTAAAGAATGCGATTCCCAGTTAATGTACGCTAAGTTACCTGTTTCGTAGTTCGTGGTATGATAAATCATCTGTTTCGTTTCACACTTTGTGATATGCTAAATAAAAATGCCGAGTGTGTCCTGTTTAACGTGCCGAATTGTGATTCTGAGGTTCCGTGGTTTACCAAAACAATATAAAAAAAATTTACACTCCAAGGTGCGTTATAAGAGTGACGGTCAAATCCAATCAAGAATAGCCAAAGAGTTTTTGATGGATGGTGATGATTCGCTACCTTCCTTCTAATCTATCATTTCAAAACTAGCGCAGATAGTACTCGTGTAGATTTGCGTGAAATTCAAAGAAAAAACAAACAAAAGTTAAATAAACTAGTTATTGATTGGTGATATGCTAAACAAGGTCATTCCTGGTTCGAAAGTTCAATTACTCTCCTTGAGTGCTGTTTATATCTTAGTTTAGTAAGTTTATATTTACTAGCTCTTTTCTTTTTGTAAGACCAGATGTTTAGAGCGCTCGAATCGCAATCTGAGATTCGCGAGTTTGAATCCCCGTCCCATCAAACATGCTCGCCCTTTTAGCCGTGGGGGCGTTATAGTGTTACGAGTCAATCCCACTATTCGTTGGTAAAAGAGTAGTCCAAGAGTTGGCGGTGGGTGGTGATGACTAGCTACCTTCCCTCTAGTCTTTCACTGCTAAATTATGGATGGCTAGCGCAGATAACTCTCGTGTAGCTTTGCACAAACTTCAAAACAAACAAACAAGCTTTCAGAAGTACTGCTAAGGCACTTGGGTGGCAGAGGAAGGTTAATAGAAAATTTAATCTAAGAAAACTATAGACAAGAAAAAACTATAACCAATGAAAACTATAGACAAGAAGAACACTATAACCAATGAAAACTATAGACAAGAAGAACACTATAACCAATGAAAACTATAGACAAGAAGAACACTATAACCAATGAAAACTATAGACAAGAAGAACACTATAACCAATGAAAACTATAGACAAGAAGAACACTATAACCAATGAAAACTATAGACAAGAAGAACACTATAACCAATGAAAACTATAGACAAGAAAAACTATAACCAATAGAAAACTATAGACAAGAAGAACACTATAACCAATAAAAACTATAGACAAGAAGAACACTATAACCAATGAAAACTATAGACAAGAAGAACACTATAACCAATGAAAACTATAGACAAGAAGAACAATATAACCAACGAAAACTATCTTGATCGCATGTAATTTCACGAATATATGATGAACTGTTTTCATTGGTCACATCTAGATCTTTATCATGTTTCCTTTCTTTCACTCCTTGTTTCTATCTCCTTTTTTCCATTTTTTCGTTTATTTGTTCTTTATACCTTTCCATTTTTTCATTCCATTTTGCTCTTGTTTCTTTTTGTTTTCCACATTCTTTTTAACCATACTTGACTATCAAGTTTTTAGTATAAGAAGTGGTAAAGCCTGTGGCATGTGCATTTTTGTCGATGATGCACGAGTTATTGTCATAACTCATGCATGACAAGTTTATAATCTGGTAAACGGATACGAATATATCATGATTTTAATCTCCAGCGATTCCGACAAAGAGAAAATAAAGAAACACCTGAATGGAGAAGACAAATGTCTGTGGTCCAAACTAAAAGCTGCTGACATTATATGACCTAAGCTCGCGCTCGATAAGCCACGTGGCTTTCAATGGACCACTGGCAATAAAAAAGAAGCGTACACTAGTGTGTCAATGCGTTCTATTTAGTTACATTTACTGTAAATATTGTGACATGTCACACAATTCTCAAAAAATCTGCTTGACGTTAGTATTCTTTATTTTCCTCTACAAACTGCTCGGTAAAATATTTGACAATAATATCCAAGATCTGAAAGGAGGTGTTGGTTACTAAAGTCCTTACATATCAGTGATAACCCCAGACCGGAGATGCTCAAAAGAAATAAATTTGTTCTTTTGAAATAACCAAATTAGTGAACAGGTGAAGTTTTTATTTTTTGAGGTTCAGTTTATGTTCTGAAGCTTGGCAGAAAATTGAGATTATGAGTATATTCAATGAATCTCTCGCGTTTTTTTTTTTCGAACGTGACTAAAAGAAAGCACTTCTGGATATTTAGATAACTATAACAACCAACGAATAATTTTGTTAAATAAGCGGAGTCCGAATTTATTGAATGTTTTTTACAGTTTCGTTTTGCTATAACTTACAATATTAAATCATAAGTGGATGTGATTGTGCAAGAATAGCAAGTGCATATATGTTATCATATACTTGTAAGAATGTATTTTAAATAAAACTTTTAATCTGAATTTGTTCTTTAATATAGGTGGCGCCTTCCAAAGCTTTCTGAAGAATTGTTATCAAGAAACGAAAAAAAAGACCATAAGAAGGAAAAAAAGAGGGAAGACACGCAGTTACTTTTTATTTTAGTTTTCAAATTAAATAATATTGAGAACCACATAATTCAAAAGACGATGCGATGTAAAAAGCGATTGTAACTAACCTGCTATTAGTCATGGAAACAATTTAGAGTGAAGAGAGAACCAACTGAAAATTTCGTGGTCGTTTATCTCAATCGATGATTGTTATCTTAAATCCAAAAATTATTTCATCACATAAAATCCAGAATTGCAATAAATCTTACCGACGTTTAAAGGAAGGGAACGATCGTGTAACTTGATAAGCGAATCTTAAGAGTTATTTAGTAGTTTCTTAGAAAATGGTTAGTTTGTCATTATGCAGATTTTGTACGTTCAGTAATTCGATATATATGTTATGATTATAATTCTTTCTATAAGGTTGATAATATTTTGTTTATTATGAAATGCTACGAGAAGAAACCGTTCAAAATGTAAATATACCCCTATAGTCAAAAACTGTATGGATCAAATACTGATATCAGTTGACTTTTTTTTTTTCATGTATTCTGGAAGACCAAAAAAATGTGTCGTGTAATAATTTGGTTTTTTTTATAAGTGTTTATGTAAAAGCTATAAAAATGGTATAATTGTAAGCTTGTTCAGTCAAATATTGGACTATGTTTTCTACTTAAGAGTTTTACGAAGGAATGAACAGTACAAACACGTGTACTGTGAGATAATTTAAAATAACAGCAGTATAATATAGTGCTCCAAACTAAATTAATATGACTGAAACATTGTCGTTACGTTCAGATTTAAATATATCTGATTTCGATAATTCCCAAGTTAATGATATGGATACTCATGATCCTAATATCAATCATTATAATATTAATATAGTAATATATTCCAATTTCTCCGACTTCGAAAGTTTCTCGAACCAAAGAAGCGTTATTCTCATTGCATTGATTTCTGCTTTACTGGGCCTTCTTACTCTAATTACGGCAATTGGGAATATTTTCGTTATTGCCGCCATCTTAACAGATCGAGTACTTCGAACAGTTGGCAATTACCTTATTCTTTCACTAGCCGTAGCAGATTTAATGGTAGCCTGTCTGGTGATGCCTATGAGCGCTGTGTACGAGATTATGCAAGAATGGCAGATGGGTTCAATACTGTGTGACATATGGACTTCTTGTGACGTGTTATGTTGTACGGCGTCCATTCTTCATTTACTGACCATTGCCGTTGACCGTTACAGAGCCGTTACCCACGTTGATTATGTACGACAAAGAAGCCCTAGAGATATTGGGATTATGATCCTGCTTGCTTGGATCGTTGCTATAGCGATATCAGTGCCCCCTATTTTTGGATGGAAAGATGACGGTTTCCAAGAAAGAATTGAAAGAGAAAAGAAATGTTTAATCAGCCAAGACGTCGCTTATCAAGTATTTGCTACGTGCTCCTCCTTCTACTTACCCCTGGTAGTCATACTCGCTCTCTACTGGAGGATATTTCAAGAGGCCCGCAGACGAATTCGTCACAAACCAGGAACAAAGATTTCCCTTCAAGTAAAAAAATCACCTTCAAAATGTCCAGAACCACCTAACAGTGAAGTTACAACGGAAACAACTAATTTTTCGACCCCATCCTGTTCAACCGATTCGAATGCCGTTAGCCACACTTCAACACCAGCAAAGAGTAAAATGAAAAAAGAGAAGTTTTCCCACTTCGAAACCATCCTGAAAAAAGACAAAAGACAGGCAAGGGACATTGAATCAAAACGTGAAAAAAAAGCTGCTAAGACACTTGCAATAATCACTGGCGTGTTTATCGTCTGCTGGATGCCCTTTTTCGTTTTGGCATTTATTATGCCCATCTGCAACAACTGTTATTTGGATGAAAGACTTTTTACAATGTCTCAGTGGTTGGGTTACACAAATTCAATGCTGAACCCAATCATTTACACGATTTTCAGTCCAGACTTTCGTCAAGCTTTCAAAAAAATGCTCTGCGGCACTTCTCGAAAGCTTAGAACAAACTTATAATTAGTTTATGGAAAAAAATAAAAAATAGCGTCATTATTTAAATGTTTATTGATTATTTTATATAAACTTGAAACTTTCCAAATATAATATTAACTGTCAACAGACCATAAACATTTAATTTATCTATCTTCTTCTCCGTAACTAGTTTGGGGTCAGCCGGTAATTTTGTAAGCCAAACATTTTTACAACCGTGTGGCCGACACAGACGGCAATCATATAGTACGAACATATTCGGCTACTGAGATTCACACTCGCGACCCTAAGATTGTAAGTCGAGCGCCCTGACCACCAGACCCAATTAATTTATTAATGTTACTTAATGTAAATAACATTATGTATCAAAAGCTTAGAAAAATTCAAGGTCGTGAGATAAATTGTCCTCTTAAAAACAGATATTTCATTTCAAAAATATTCGTTTCATTTGTTCTTACCTTCAATCACTTTCTAAAATGTAAAGCTCAAACTGTAAACAAGGTTCTTAAGAACATCTCTTGAAATGTTTTCAAAGAAAAGTGGTATCTGAAACATCCTATTTAAAATAGTTTGTAGAGTTGTAAAAAAAGTAGTATATCATGATGCTTTGAAACATCTCTGGAGAGACGTCACCCACATCTTTCGTCTTTCTCAGGATACCTATAAAAATAGCTATAAGGCAAAATAATATGACTTGATATGATTCTAGGTTACTACTACTTAAGCATGCGTTGAAGATGAAGAATTACTCTTAAAGGTTTGGTAATATAGATATCTGTAAAATTCGTTCACATTTGTAGAACTTAAAGTATGAAATATAGCAAGTTCAAAACGCTAAAACGTGTACTGAAAATATCATTTTGTTTATGTACATAATATTAGGAGAACAACTATAGCCAACATTTTGCGTCACAGTTTGGGACTGAGATATAATCAGTAAGTAATGAGATATTAACCGAAGAAACAACCAAATGATATCGCAAAAGTCTACCGGAAGCCATAATTCTAGAACTTAGCATTTGCAGTGTATTCCATAGTTTTTCAAACTCCCTTAACCCTCCCAGACGTGGAGTCAATGGGGGCGTTGAAGGATCGAGTTATCTTTTAAATTCCTCCATGCAGCCTTTAAATATAGCATTATTCTGCAGGTTCGATTCAACTCAATGAAGCAACGTTAGATAATTCTAAGGTGATGCAAAATATTTGGCCATAGTGATATGTTAGGACTAGTTTCGAATAAATTTCCTCAGAAAACTAAAGTATCTATTAGATAATTAAATATTACAACTACAGTTGTTTATTGTGTCTGACTAGTTCTTTCAACATTTAGTTCTTTAATTAATTAAAGTAATTGATATAACCTATTCCCTCTTGTGGTATATATTGGTTGTTGTCTTGTCAAACATATATCCATAAAAATGTTGGAGTTACCAAGTTTCACGCCAATGTTTGATTTTGCATTAAATAAATTAAAATTGTGAATCACTTTTAAGTATTGTTTTAACTCAATCATTTATAGTTAAGATTTGTTTTTAAAGTAGTTTTTAATACTGTGAACTGACCTCTAATCGCCTATTTAATTGGTTAAAATTTTACTCATTAAATTTCAGAAAATCATACAAAGTTAAAACTTTTAATGTGATAACAACATATATATATACAAGTAGCTACTAAATGAGAAACGGGTTAAACTGCACTTAAAAATTGTTTTGAAATTCATTTGCATAGCTGACTGAACAGCACAGTATTTTAAGCGCATTATTTGCATGAAGCTCATTAATCTTGAACTCCTGTTCTCTCTCTTGTGGCAGAACATGGATTTACGGTTCATCGAAACTTAATATAATCGGCGTGAGAATGTTATAATATATGTACTTGACGCAGTAGACCATGCGTTAATTTAGTGAATAATGAAATCACTGATTCTTTACACCTTATTTAACAGTTAAATAGGTTAGAACACTATCTACAAATGGAACGATACTTAAGTGCTATTACTAATACTACGACATCTGTGTGCTTGTATGATGCAAATTTAATAATGTGTCTATCGCAATCACGCTTAACACAAATTAAAAATGAACTTATGAAGTAAGTAATATCGAAAATTGATTATGCATACATTGTCATTGCAGAGAATGGGTTATATAGCTTTCATTACAGGAGTTATTGATTAATTTGTGGTACATTTATTATTGATTATGTTTCATCATGTGGGTTTCACTTTTACCTAGTTTATCCAATATACGCATAAAGTATTACTTTTAAGTTCCAAGTCAACATAATTTTGTTTCACTTGTATTAGTTAACTTTTAATATTTGTACATTGTTTGTTTGTTTTATGAATTTCGCACAAAGCTACACGAGGGCAACTGCGTTTCTAATTTAGCAGTGTAAGACTAGAGGGAAAGCAGCTAGTCATCACCACCCA